TCCTTATTTGGTTCTCTTTTGGATTCACAAGACAGCATGTTGACAAGTTAAATCATATCTTTTTTTATTTATCCTGCTACTGATAAAGGAACAGTAAGAGTAAAATTTTGTGACTCCTTCTCACCAATAAGCACCTTCCTCAGCTGTACATGTATTTTTCATAAAGTACGTGCTGTACATCAGATGCTGCCCTGGATATTGTTGGGATTGCAAATCTAAATTGCAAAAAAAATCTTTAAGTATCTTATGCTGGGATGGATACATATACACTATAATGCTATAAGCATGCAAGTGTTCTGTAAGTATGAAATGTAACTAGAATAGAAAAGCTCAAATTACGGCAATTGCAAGCATATCCTTTGAAGCCCAAATCTAAAACCTCCTCCTCAGTGAAGACTTCCTAGAGTCTCTCAGGCAGAATACATTTTCTTTGCAGACATGATTTGCAATGGGAGTTTCTACAATTTTTATTTGTCTGAATACCGTGGATATATATCTGCCTTATGGCAACACAGGCTCTTTGGAGAAGGAACATATTTCAGCCTCCTTTGGACCTTCACTATGATCATACCAGAGAAAGGAGGCAGCAGTGTTTACAGTATAGTGAGTGAATAAGTTAATCAAAAAGTGATGCAAGCTAGACAGGATGTTTGAGGGGAGCACACAACAGGCATTGAGAAAGGGACCTGGTAATGGGGAGTTTTGAGTTATAGATAGCAATTATGCAGATGCATTCAAAGATAGTAAAAGCACGAATTTTTGTATGAGTTTAGGAAGCTAAATGATGTGACTTTTGTTGAGTAATTGTATGCCAGACACTACTCTAAGTGCTTTGTTTGCATTATCTTACCTATTCCTTAAGATAAGTAGATTGAATTGTTCCCACGAACAGAGGAGAAAACTAAAGTAGGAGGAGGTAACTGTTGTGTATAAGACAGCACAGAGTGTGGTAATAAAACCATGATTCAAGTCCAAATTATTCTTAATTGTTACTTAGTTCTATATAGTTATATGGTTACTTTTATGTAAGCAATATACTTTAGCCTAATTTTGTACATTGGCTCTGTGATCAGATTGTAATAATTGGTAAAGTGAATTTTACAAACTGGCAAGCATAGTGCATAGCAAACTATTTTTACATATATTTCTATTAGTGCTTCAATTTTATAAAAAGTTGGTTTCAATAATAGTATATTTTGGTTGGACCTATCCCTTTGTTACTCTCCTATGCATGAAAATTATATACCTCAATAACTATTTTCCTATTAGTCACATGTTTTTAAAAAAAGAATATTTTGAAAACATTATATAACAAGATCAGAACTTTTTGTGTCATTAAAGACAAAGTTGAACTTGTTTCCTTAAAATAAGTTACCATTGTATTGCTTACTAAAAGGCCATCTGAATCAGCATTACATGAATTTTTAAATGGTGGCATGTGTGACCTTAAAAAGGATCACTCTGACTTTTGGCTTGATGACCGATTATATATAAAATTCAGATGATACAAAAAAGGTAAGCTTGGTATGTCATAAGCTTGGATAGAACCCTCTAGGAGCCTGAATTTAGTAGAAATATCAAGACTAGTCACTTCCACTTAAATAGTGGGTCTACTTAATTAATCAGATGAAGATTGGGTGTCCATGCAGACATTAGAACAAAACACTTCGCCTTCAGAAGAACTCAATCACTGCAGTACTTAGGTTCTTTTTTTTTTTTTTTTTTTTTTTTGGCTTTTTCATTTTTATCGGTACCGGGGATCGAACTCATGACTGTCTGCTTGCAAGGCAGGTGCTTATGCCGCTGAGCTAAATCCCCAGCAGTATTTAGGTTCTTAATGCTGCAGTAGAATAACAAAAATCCCCCACCTACAGAGGGTCCTTCTAGTTTGCAACAAGTGAGAAAGGGAAAAGATATCTCTATTTTTCCTAATGTCTAGGTGGCTCAGCCTTGTTTGGGGCCCTAAAAATATATAGAAAAGGCCTTAACAGAGGCACACTTCTACACTGAATTTACAAATTACAGCTATAAAACAAATTAGAGAACCAAAAATATCATTTATGCTGTTTCACACACATTTTAAAAGCAGTCTGTCATATGGAATCAGTCATACTTCAATGTAATCAATTTCCTTAAACATTGGATTCAGAAAGAAAATATATAATATACAAAATAGATAATATATATAGTTTGTTTGGTACCAGGAATTGAACTCAGGACCTTGTGCTTGCCAGGCAGGCTCTAATGCCACTGAGCTATACGCCCAGCCCAAGTCTAACATATTTTTGCATGTAGTTATCAAATACGTGGTACTTGAGTTTGCTTAAATTCTAAAAACACCCCTCAATATTCATCACTTGCTATTCAAGTGTATATCAATGTTTACTAGATTTCTAGGTAAATTATTTCACTGAAGCCTAGATTAGTTTTTCTTTTTTTCCTAATGCCACATAAATTTGCAATAATTTCCCACAAAATCACTCTTGTTAGTTATTTCCTGTCACTGAGACGCAATATGTCACACCCATGGCCTAAAGAAGGAGAGGTTTGATTTGGCTCCTGGTTTGAGGTACTCACTGCCTGGCCAGCTGAGTCCCAGGAAGAAGCATGGTGGAAGGGTGAGATGGAGTAAAGAGATGCTGGTCATGGTGTCAGGAATCAGAGCAGGGGACAGTGTCGGAGAGGAAGGCCAGGACCAGACAGAATGCCGAAGATCTTGCCTCCAAAGCCCAGCCAGACGTATCCAGACATGTGTTTTACTAATCCTCTTGGGGGCTCCTGAGCCCATCAAGTTGACACAATTAAACTTATTCACCACAATTATATTTGGATAAGAAATTCTTTTCATGCCTATTTGATAATAATCTACTTGTATAATTGCTTCTCTGTTATTTAAAGTATAATTATATTTAAATTTGGCCACTAACTTACATTTCTTCATTAGTATTGATTCACAATCCACCCAGCTTATTTTTACTGTACTGAAAAATGAATTCATTAATTTCCTTTTTCTCCACAACACGATGCTCCAGTCAGAGCCATGTGAGTAAATGTATTCTGGGTACACAATCTTGACAGCAGGTTACTTTTATGTGTCAACTTGACTGAGCAATATCTATATGGTGAAATATTGCTTTGTATGTTTCTGTGAGAATATTTTTGGATAAGATTCGCTCTTAAATAAGTAGAATTTGAGAACAACAAATTACGCTTCACCTTGTGGGTCTCATCCACGAAGTTGTAGTACCACATAGAACAAAAGACTGACCTATCACAAGCAAAAGGGAATGCTACCCCAGAATGTGATAGCTCCTCAAGTTCAGAGAGTCTTGACTGTTCCTTGATCTGTGCTCTGCAGATTATCTTACAGCATTTGAACTTGCTAAATCTGCATGACAGCATGAGCCAATTTCTTCAAATCTCTTTTGGCATTTATGGACATCTTATTGGTTTTATTTTTTGAGAGGACCATATTAAAAGTATTCTTTAGCTCTTTCTATGTGACTAAAGAATGGAAATTTATAGTAGCAGAATGTATTAAAAATTGGAACAGCAAATATGTGTTTAGGTACGATCGCAAGACTGCAGTGGCACCTCAGTTCATGAATGCCTTTCTTTTCAAGCATTTGACAAAATTATTTTTGTTTTGCAGGTGTTGCATTGGGTACCAAAAATGACTGTAGCCATCTTTCTAACACAAACACCAATGTGGCCATCTTTTCCAAAGTAGTAGAAAACATCAGGTTTGTGAGTGGAAATACCAGTGTATTTCCTATCACATAACCAAATGACTCATCTTTTTTCCTTGGTCCAGTCAGTTGTATATGTCTTTAACTTTTTTTCCTGGTGCTGAGGATTAAACCCAGTCCTGCACACAGAAACCAAGCATTCTAAATCGAATCATACCCTCAGCCCCATCCAGTTATATTTTGTTTACAAAAAAGATACCTATATTATTGGAAATAGATACCAGTTAGCAAAAGAAGTTAAGACATTTTGTGAGGTTAGATTTGAGAGCATCTTTCTATGCAGTTAGGTCGATCTTGAGCTCACTATATGGCCAACACTGGCCTTGAACTCAAGGAGATCTTCCTGCATCAGCCTCCAGAGTGCTGGGATTATAGATGTGAGTCATTAGGAGGAGCTGACAGGAGGTCTCTGTACTATGGGATATGAAGAAGACAGTTCCAAACAGTTACCGATATCCTGCTGGAGAAGAAAGTATTGGGCTCAAGGTCTCACAGTGCAGTTTCTTGGCATGTATTTTGTGTAATGTTTTTGCTGCTCAAACAGTGCTTAAGATAACTGTAAGATTAATTATGGTCTTGAAAAGATGCTCCAGTTATTTTTAGAAGTCTACAAAAAATTGTTCCAGAAAACAACAGACCTAGGTATATGGAGAAAAACAGACATTTGAAGACAAGAATTCCACTTTTCTATGATGGGAGACAGGAACAATCTTGGTGATTGGTTATAACACCTCAGCACCTTCCAAACTGAAGTAGTATTCCATGGATATATAGAGAGTTGTCAGGAAATACGTAGCCCACTTTTCTCTAGAGCCAATTTTTCAGCCTTATTGAGATTAATGTGCTTGGTCAGTACACTAAAATTGTTATTTCTTATCAAAACAAACATCAGTATATTATAGAACAGAATGCAAAACTTGCACACATTTTAAAGAACATCTAAGTGGCTTTAAGTGGGTTCCTAGCTACCACTATTCCCCCCATACAAGTTACTATCATGTTCTCTACTGAACTCAGCAGTGAGCCTTTGATGGAAAAAGTTTCAGAAGTGTGGTCTTAAAATAGACTGGCTTTAGAACACAACAACTATTGAAGAGAAAAGGAGAGAACTCATTCCATTTGAGATATACATTCCTTGAATTAAAAAAAAAAAACTCTCCCAAAAGTAAACCAGAGTGAACAGAGTATCTTCATAACAATACATTTTTTGTTTTTTTTTTTTTTTAAAATAAAGGCCTCCCTTTTGATAAATATTATTATAACAGGCTTTATTTAGTTCTTATTCCAGGACAAACTATTTATTGAGAACTTCTATTTCAAGGTCTCTATGTTGGTGGTCATAATTCTCCTTTCAACATGAAATAGACATAGTAAGTAGTCTGAGAAGCAGCACAGAAATTCCCCCAGATCTTCCCAGCTCGTGTTTCCTGCACACGGTCACACTGGCGCTACCATCCTTGTTCTCCTGCATGAATCAGGAAAGCACGTTCATTGGTCAGCAGACATGTCAAAGCTGAATATATTCATGTCTAAATAATGCTGTGCAGTTCTTTTCATAGAAATCCAGGTTTCACGAATCTACAAGAAGAGGAAACACAAGTCATAATCTCTGGGTGTGTAGAGCACATGTTGCTTTGGTCATTCAGATTATTATGCAGATATTCCAAAAGAATGAGAGGAATGTAATGGGAAATTATGCCAAATGCGATTGAGTTTTCACACTTTCAGTTATCTGCAGTTATCTGTTTATTTTAAAGCTCAGATGTATTACAGTATTTATGGAACAGTGTGAACTGATAGTTGAGTCTTGTTATGTTACAGTTTCTGTCAGCTGATTATAAAACAGGTCTATAATTAGAGACAGTATATTTGAAAACTTCAACATTCCACAGAAAAGATACAGTCTGTTATCCTATGTAATTATTTACTTTTCCAAATAAGTGTTGGAAACAAGCATCTTGATTTACACTATTTGTGCAAAGCATACATGAAACTGGATGCATTGCTCTAGCTGGCGGTTTTTATCAGAAAAATTCTGGGCAAGAAAAAATCAATCCTGGTAGACCAGTTCAGGCACAGCCATACTGAGAAACGAAAGGACTAAGACCACATGAAAGCAAAGACATTTGATTTTTTTATGACTTTTTTTGTAATTCTCATACTTAGTGATGATGACAACTTGATACATGCGGAAAGAATGATTAAATGAAGAAATTAATTAAACAGCTTTATTTTCTAAATTGCTAAGTTCCAAGAGGTAAATCATGAGTCTCTGAAATCCTAAAATAATTCAGCACTTTCATTTGGTCCAGAGTCACAATCTGTTCTTCCATCAGAAAAGTAAACATGAGGTAAGCCTCCTAATGCGAATGTCCTTATTCCCCTTGAAGTGGGAACACAAATGAATAGGAAAATGTAGAAAAGGAAGTCAGTCAAGGAACAACAGCTAAAGCCTTGGAAGACTATCAGGAAAACTAACCATAGAACAAATGAGTGAACTGAACTGAGACCACTATCCACTCACCCACCTCCCAAAAAGCATAATTTATAAAACTGTGCAATAGTCATTTTGACAGGTTCAAAAAATAATCGTCTTGATGGATAAGACATGGACCTCATCTTGGTAGTGTCGTTATGTAGATGAAATAAGTAATTCCACTGTAACATTTTGAGAGCTACTCATATCTGAACAATGCAAAGGGTGGGGGGAATAAGAATTAATGTGCCTTTGAAAGGAGAGGAAACGAAGATTTCAGAGAGGAGAGGACTCTGAGCTTAGTCATTAAGCAAGAAGAGACTTTCACAAAGCAAAATCCCCTTTATGACAAGGAAAGAGCAAGTGTAACTCAGGGAAATGAGGGTGGGTGAATGGTGTGTTCATGGCAGGGGTTGGCAAGCTGATTGAAACCATTTCCTGTTTAGAAACGAAAAGTACAACTACTTACCAGCATTGATTTAATTTATAGCAATAGAAAATGGAAATGGCACTACTGAAGCAGAATGCTACAAACAGAAAGATGCATTTTGTTTCCAAGGACTATCAATCTAGTAGAGCAATGGGAAACTAGTAAAAACATGGGATTTTTTAATGGCAAGCTTGGGGAGTAAGGTTAGGACTGTGATCCCTCTGCTGTCTTGGGGTAAATGCTGTGACTGCAAGCACCACCTCCAATATGCTCGGGGAAAATGGAAAATGGGTTAAAAAATAAATGGCAGAGGACTATTTGTTTTAAATGTAAATACCTGATCAGCCAGTGTGATCCTCCACCCATCTGAACTCTCATCTGGGTTCCAGTAGTCTTGCAAATACACATGTCTTTTAAGACGAAGGAACTGATTTGCTGGGTCTTCCCAAAAAAATGGTGCTCCCAATGCTCCTGCAATGCAGAATACAGAACATGGCATCTTTAGGACAAGAGTTTACATCTTAGCGTCTCAGTGTTCCTCCTCACAGTGACACAACTATAGCCTTTGACAGCTCATGCTCTTGAGAAGCCCTGCTCCTCACTCCTTGATCACCCTGCATGAACTGCATATGGTACAGTTTGGAAGCCAGTAGACAGAGAAGAATTTCTTCCTCCTCTTCCTCCACCTCTTCCTCCTCTTCCTCCTCTTCTTCTTCTTTTTCCTCTGCCTTCTTCTTCTTCTTCTTCTTCTTCTTCTTCTTCTTCTTCTTCTTCTTCTTCTTCTTCTCCTTCTCCTTCTCCTTCTCCTTCTCCTTCTCTTCCTTCTCCTCCTCCTCCTCCTCCTCCTTCTTCTTCTTCTTGAGACAGGGTGTTGCTGTGTAATTCAGGCTAGCCTTGAATTCACTATGTAGCCCAAAATTCCCTCCAATTTGCAATGACCCTCCTGCCTCAGCCTCCTCCGTGCTGGGATCACAAGCATGCATCACCATGCCTGGCTAGGATTTCTCTTTCTGTACATGTACAGAAGCCTTCAGATCAGGGTGAAAATTCCAATTATGTCAGTTTTTAGGAACTTTTGCTTGAATATAGAGCTTTAGTTTTCCTGTATGAAAGAGAGGGGGAATAACACCCATAATATATAGCATCACTGTGAGGACTGGAAAAATGAATGTATATACAAAAATCAATGTATATACAATGTATAATGAATATGTCTTAAAATAGTCAACTATTTTATCCTTGCCTTTTTAGCCTTCAGGAAAAGAATGTGTCCTTGAGTTTGAAATAGGCAGTTCTCAAATATGATTTGTATCTTAAACTGTTAGCAATGATGAATCCATCACTAAATCAAACAAAATAGGTCCATATTTTGCATGCCTTTCCTGTTTAGGATTATACAGGCAAAAAATGATGATACTTTAAAAATCTAGACTTTGTTAGGATTTTGAAACTTTTAACATTTTCATTCCTAAATAAAACACAATTAGCTGGGTATAGTGGCATATGCCTGTAATGCCAATGTGGAGGCTGAGGCAAGAAAATTGCCATAAGTTAGAGGCCACCTTGGGCTTTACAGTGGGTTCAAGGTCAGCCTGCACTTCACAGGGAGACTGTCTCAAAACAAAATGAAACAAAACAAAAACAAAAACAAAAAATGAAAGCACAGTCACGTTCAGAACAGCGAATTTAATCACTATAAAAGAATACAATTACTCCTTTCCTGGCAACAATACAATCCATTCTTCGTCTTTGCTAAAGAAACATTTATTATATCAGATATTCAAGAGCCTCCTAGTTAACAGGGCTTCCATAATCAATGCTCTGTGTGTATGGACCAAGATTATAATGAGCTATGAGATACAAAATTCTCTGTATGGCTCTCTGTTTAGTTGGGAATCAAAGATACAAAACAGAACAAGGCAACACATGATTTGATTGTGTGATGGGAATTTAGTGGGAGGTGTTAAAAGCATGGGAGTCCTAGGGCATGGCAGCTGTTTTCATGGTCAAGGAATTTGGTTAACCCACTCCTTGGAGGAGAGGCTAGATTAGTGATTTTATTAGGAAAGAGGCTGGGATTTTAAAATGTGAATTGAAAGAATACTGTATATAAAAAAAGTAGGTTTGGGAATCTATAAGACCAACATCTGAAGCAATGGTTAGATGTGTGTAGATAGGAGAGTTTTTTGTTTTTTGTCTTTTTCTTTTTTATCAGTACTGGGGATCGAACTCATGACTGCCTGCTTGCAAAAACAGGCGCTTATGCTGCTGAGCTAAATCCCGAGTCCCAGATAGGAGAGTTTTAAAGTTTAACTTCAGAACATGTCAGTGACAGGTGTCAGAGGAACTCTGCCGGTGCTCAGGGCCCAGGCAGCACTCTGCAGGCACCATCCTCTATGTGGGTGTTTGTATCATTGTACAATCATTGCTGTCATTTAATAGGCTCACTGGTGTAAGGACAGAACGTGCACAAATGCCTCGTCTTTCTCGGGTCACTCGCTCTAAGGAGTTCTGATGACACTCCAACCGGTCCAAGGGAGGGCCCACTTGGCAAAGAAATGAAACCTCCTTCCCCACAGTGATGAAAGTGAGCCACCTGGACACATGTGCTTTTGCTCTTGTCCAGCCTGCAGATGACCGCAGGCCCTGTGAACACCCTCACTGTATCATTATGAAAACCCGTGAGCTAGAACCGTAGAGCTGAACCTCTCCCAAATTCCTGACCCCAAACCTGAAATAAATGGTAGATAATAAACATTTAGTATTTTTAACTACCAAGATTTGGGGAGATTAGTTATGCCATGGTGGATAATCAGATCAATGCAGCATAAGCACTTAGTAATACTGTGATAAATTGCTAGTCATCACAGACCAAATGAGGCCTCCGAAGATACAAAATTCAACTAAACTTTCTTTTCCCTTTTGTACCAGGAATCAAACTCAGGACCTTGCATTTGTCAGGCAGGCATTCATGCTACTGAGCTGTATCCCTGGCAGGATAAAAAATCCAAAAGCAACTCTTTTAGGATTATGCAAAGTGTATGCCATGAGTCCCACACTTTTTACCCTAGACTTCGCCAATTACTCCTGCATGCAAAAAGAGGCAATAAGTAACCCTTGACCTAAAGAACCTAAAATAACCCTAGAGAACCCACAGTGTCCAAGTTCTTGGTTAATCAGCCAAACACATTGTGATTGCACCATACACTGGACGATTGATTCTGAAATTGGCATGAACCCTCATAGAGCTGGCCTTCAGTGGATATAGAAGATCTCAAGAGCTAGAAGGAGGGAAGAAGAAGAAAAGAGCAAGCATTGCAGAGGAGAAGAGGCCAGAGAGCTAAGGACAGAGGCGCCAATTAAGATCAGGGCCAGCGACTCACATTTGCCAGTGTGACTGGAAGGTGAGACTCTGGTGCAGACGTGACCTGTGGTAAGGTTGAAACTGGAGGTCAAGCCTGAAGGATTTTTACTGTCACACAAAGGAGTTTGGACTATTCTGTAAATACTCAGTGATTGTTTTGAAGAAGAAAACAATAGGTCCAGCTTTGCTGTTAAATGTCTTTATTATGATAAAATTATGCAAAATGCATGCAACATAGCACTTATCATTTTGACCCTTTTGGGTGTATGATTAGCACCACTGTGCACCTCTAGAACTATTTAATCAACACAAACAGAAACTCTCCCAATGAGTAACCTTCCATTACTCCTTCTCCCAGACCCCATAACCATGACTCTCCTTTCCATCCCTGTGCACTTGCCTGTTCAGGTACTTTGAATAAGTGGAATTATACAATATTTGTTTTTTGCTGCACTTGGCATGATGTTTTCAAGGTTCAACCACCTGCAGGAATTAGTGTTTCATTTCTCTTGAAGGATGAATAATGTATTGGCTGTGTGTACCACATGGCGTGACCTACTCTGAAAGATTCTTTGTCAGTGGTGTGGAGGACAGCTAGAAAACAGAGAGAGCACAAAGAGAGAAGCAAGGTTAGGGGTTCTACTAACAGTTCCAATGGTAGGAAACAAATAAGGTAAGTGACAGCAGGATAGGAAGACAGGATTGATCTAAATAAAACTGAAGGGAACCCTCATTCATTTGCCTGGTGTGGACAAACTGTCATTGAAGATTCCATTCTGTCTACGGGGAACAAAGAGGGACATTTCAGATTTCTATTATTTCTAAAGAAAAAGTGTCTCTTACTGTTGTACCTTTTATTTGTCATTATCCTGTTAAAAACATGCTTTTCAAACCAAAGTGAATGGTTTTGCTAAGATGACCCAATCCCATAAACCAGTGAAGAAAAACCTTTTAGAGACTGAGTGCTCAAACTGCAACCTAAAAACCACTTCATCACAAACTACCAACACTGCGATTAAACCTGAATGCTGAGTTTTTAGTTTAGAAAACACAGATGTTGTCTTGGGCTGCTGTAACATTTTGATTTGCGTGGTGACAGGGTTGTTCATGTCCACTGCAGCGCATGTGCCATAGGTTCACCACCACTGCCATGAAGAAGTAGTAAATATTTCTGAAGAAATGATACATAGGCTGTAATTTCCAGGAAGATAAAGAAACTGTAATAAGGTCTTAACATAGTGCTAATAGGAATTGTCCAAAAGTAACATGTATTGTACTATAATTATTATGATATACAATCACTAAGAGAAAAAGTAGTATTACATAATCTTAGCACAGAAGATGCATGTTTTAAAATATATGGCATATTGCTATTTTAAGTTGTAATAATTCTGTCTTTTTTAGATCTTCTTTTTGTTCACACACACACAAAAAATGTTTTACTGATGCAATCTCCTCTCCTTCTCTAGGACAAAGCACCAATCTCAGCATTATAGTCCCGACAGCCAGCCAATAAATATTAATCGATAGTGCTAATAACATCACCCATGAGAGACACAGAAAGTAGTATTCATTATCCTCCATTGCAAATGAGAAAATTGACACACAGGGATGAAATGACTCACTCAAGGTCACACAGTAAGTAGGTGCTGAAAATGAAATGCAAGCGGAACAGAAAGGCAGGCTATTATTCTCTCTGCTTGAGAAATTCCTCCTCCCTTTCTCATTCTGCCTGACCAACCTTGAAAATTCATAAGAGTAAGACCAGGGTTTTGAGTTTATGAGTTTTTATAATGCTGCTGAGGTTTGAAAACTGAACACAAAGTTTTGTTGTTTTGTTTTAAATGAGTGTTTGTTTTATAAATGTAGTCATTATCAGCCAGAATAATGCCTTTCTGAAACTTCATGATCATAAATCTTAAAAAACATATCTTTCTCCCCCCAACTCTTCATACATTATCTTTCTCTTTGTCTTGCACCAGTTTAATAAGATCCAGTGATATTCTATTGAAACATTTCTCAAATAACCGCTGTAAAAAATTATGTATGGTAGAAATAGGGCAGATACTTCTGGAACATGGAGCTCCTGAGAGTGACAGCTCTCCCT